TTTCAGCTATTCAGGAGTCTGAGACAGGAGAATCGCTTGAACCTGGGAGATGGAGGTTGCGGTGAGCTGAGATCATACCACTGCACTCCAGCCTAGGTGACAGAGTGAGACTCCGTCTCAATTAAAAAAAAAAAAAAAAAGCATACATATGATATAATTAATTATGTTCATATACTAGAACAGGCAAAAGTAATCTATGGTGAAAAATCATCACAAAAGTGTCCTCTGGGGCTTGGTAGAGGGTCTGGAGATAGGAAGTGTTTAAGGTGACGTGTACTCAGATCTACAGTTTACTTTGCATTGCAACAACTATAACAATGAAATTGGATTAGTGGATAATACACAATAAGGCAAATATAGTGAAAAATTAATTGTGAAATCTACTGCTGGTTATTCAAGTGCTTATTGTTCAGTTATTTTAACTTTCCTATAGGTTTGGAAATTTTATACGATATTTAAAATACATAATTTCAGAAAAAGGCCTAGTACAGTGACTCAGGCCTATAATCCCAGCTCTTCTGGAGGCTAAAGTGGGCAAATCACTTGAGGTCAGGAGCTTGAGACGAACCTGGCCAACATGCTGAAACCACATTTCTACTAAAAATACAAAGCATAAGCCAGGCATGGTGGTGCATGGCTGTAGTCCCAGCTACTTGAGAGACTGAGGTAGGAGAACAGCTTGAACCACCACTGCACTCCAGCCTGGGCGACACAGGGAGACTATCTCAAAAAAAAAAAAAAAAAAAAAAAGAAGTCAGCAAAAACTCAATATTTTGAAAAAGCCTAAGGGGAGACCTGATTTAATGTTTTTGCTGATGCAATATTCTTGTAGGCCCTGAATATCCTTCGAGAAATTACTTGCCAAAGATAAATGAGAATTTATTGTGTTGTCTTTTCTCAAAATGCTAGATAAAAGAGCCATTAAAAATTATATACACCTAAGAATTTCTGAATTTGCAATATGTCACTCAAGTTTTTATCAAGTTAAATGTATAATTAAAAACTACTTAGTATCATGTTTTTCACTACATACCATTTCATTTTCATTTTCTTTCTTTTGTAAATCTCCGTGAACTATCTTTTCTAAACGGTAGGTTGTAAAATACAAAAAGAAATTAAGTGGGTGACAGAATCCAGTTAAGAAGGATATACTATTTTAATGAATATTTTAACTTAATTGAGTTAACTGGTAAGAAGTATTGTTGAAAGCGTTAAGTTTGAGGTGAAAATATCACTTTTACTTTTCATGCCTTGAGAATTATTGGAATTCAGAAGAGTAAGTTTAAAATGACCTTGACAAATTAGAGCATTCTATTTTTTCAAAAGGGCAAAATTCAGTAAAAACATATATGTAAGTTGACTTTTCAGGACCAAACCAATAACAGAAGTGTGGCCCAAAGGCAGACTATTTCTAATGACTCACTATCATCAACATTTCTTGGTAAATATTCACTGTCTCTTGTCTTATGATTCGATCCAGCTTGGATACAGATTTTTAAGTAATATGGAGAAATACGTAGAGATTTAAAGAGAAACAAGATGACTGAAATAATGAAAAACTGGTCCTATGAGGAAAACCTGAGAGAAGAGAAATTTCCATAAACCCTTCAAGATTGAAAAAGGCTAAAGCTTTGCTTGATTTCCATTTTCAAGTACATGAAGTATTTTTATAAGGAGAATCTATGAAAACCTAACAAGGAAAATAGATTTACATTAAGACGTAGTTTCATTGTGCAAATGCAGAAATCGCTTTGACTTTGTTTAATTAAATCCTGGAATAATTATCAAGAGACTTTAAAGAATCTACATCATTGGAGAATTAAAGACATGAAGTATGAATTCTAAGTGGTTCTACATCTACACCTGCCACAGGGTGACCCTTGAAAGCACTTCCTAGGTCTGCATTCTAATAATAATGTTTCACTCCATGTTAATCATTTTGAAATATAGCTTGGTAATTATTTATGCTTCTCTGGGCTTTCTATACGGAATGGCAACTTTAAATTCACCTCACTTAAAAATTCATTTTATTAGATAATTCTCTTTTCCACTGGGGTTGTCTCATAATAAATGATTATATATTTTATTAGTGACTGTCATACTGTTACTTAGTTTCTGTATTTTGTAATTATTATAAAATCATTATAATGTATCCTCTCATTTTTTGTCTTTAATATTATAACAGTATCATCAGAAGAAAGTTTGTATTTTTAAAAATGTTATCTTCATGAGCATTCTCCATTGGTGAGAAGGTCCTTAGCTGAGTATAAGTATGTTTAACTGCTTTGCCATTTATCTTGCCAAGTCACCAAGCTCCGATCCAGGACCAGCTAGAAGTCTAGTGAGATTTTAAAAAACTATCAGGTGCAGTGGCTCACGCCTGTAATCTCAACACTTTGGGAGGCTGAGGGTGCAGAGCACATGAGGCCAGGAGTTCAAGACCAGCCTGCCCAACATGGTGGCACCCCTGTCTTTACCAAAAATACAAAAATTAGCCAGGCATGGTAACAGTTGCCTGTAGTCCTAGCTACTCAGGAGGCTGAGGCAGGAGAATTGCTTGAACCCGGGAAGCAGAGTTTGCAGTCAGCTGAGATTGTACACTGCACTCCAGCCTTGGGGACAGAGTAAGATTCTGTCACCAAAAAAAAAAAAAAAAAAAAAAAGACTTTTTGTTGCAGTTGCTTTTAACGTTTTTGTCATGAAGTCTTTGCCCATACCTATGTCCTGAATAGTATTGACTAGATTTTCTCCTAGGGTTTTTATGGTTTTGATTTTACATTTAAGTCTTTAATCCACCTTGAGTTAATTTTTGTATAAGGTATAAGGAAGGGGTCCAGTTTCAGTTTGCATACAGCTAGCCAGTTTTCCAAGCACCATTTATTAAAGAGGGTATCCTTTTCCCATTGCTTATTTTTGTCAGGTTTGTTGAAGATCAGATGGTTGTACATGTGTGGTGTTATTTCTGAGGTCTCTGTTCTGTTCCATTAATCTATATGTATGTTTTGCTACCAGTACCATGCTGTTTTGATTACTTTAGCCTTGAAGTACAGTTTGAAGTCAGGCAGCATGATGCCTCCAGCTTTGTTCTTTTTGCTTAGGATTATCTTGGCTATATGGACTCTTTTTTGGTTCCATTTCCATATGAAATTTAAAGTAGTTTTTTCTAATTCTGTGAAGATTGTCAATGGCAGTTTGATGGGAATAGCACTGAATCTATAAATTATTTGGGGCAGTATGGCCGTTTTTACAATATTGATTCTTTCCATGAGGATAGAATGTTTTTCTATTTGTTTGGGTCCCCTCTTATTTCCTTGAGCAGTGGTTAGTAGTTCTCTTTAAAGAAGTCCACCACATTCCTTGTAAGCTGTATTTCTAGGTATTTTATTTCCTTTGTGGCAATTGTAAATGGGAGTTCATTCATTATTTGGCTCTCTGATTGTCTATTGTTGGTGTATAGAAATGCTTGTAATTTTTACCCACTGATTTTAAACTAGAGGGCTTCTGCATAGCAAAAGAAACCAGCACAGAGCAAACGGGCAACCTGCATGATGGGATTTTTGCAATCTACCCATCTGACAAAGGTTTGATATCCAGAATCTACAAGGAGCTTAAACAAATTTACAAGAAAAAAAAGAAACAACACCATCAAAAAGTGGACAAAGGATACGAACAGATACTTCTCAAAAGAAGGCATTTATGCAGACAACAAACATAATTTAAAAGCTCATTATCACTGATTGTTAGAGAAATGCAAATCAAAACCACAGTGAAATACAATCTCACACCAGTCAGAATGGTAATTGTTAAAAAATCAAGAAATAGCACATTGGGAGGCTGAGGTGGGCAGATCACTTGAGGTCAGGAGTTCTAGACCAGCCTGGCCAACATGGTGAAACCCTGTCTCTACTAAAAAAAAAATTAGTGGGGTGTGGGTGGTACACACTTGTAATCCCAGCTACTGAGGAGGCTGAGGCAGGAGGATTGTCTGAACCCAGGAGGCAGAGGTTGCAGTGACCTGAGATCATGATACTGCACTCCAGCGTGGGAGACAGAGAGAGACTCTTTCTCAAAAAATAAAAAAAAATTAAAAATCAAGAAACAGATGCTGGTGAGGCTGTAAAGAAATAGGAGTGCTTTTACACTATTGGTGGGAATGTAAATTAGTTCAGCCATTGTGGAAGACAGTGTGGGTAATACCTCAAGGATCTAGAGCCAGAAATATCATTTGACCCAGCAATCCCATTACTGGGTATATATGTAAAGAAATATAAATCATTCTACTATAAAGACACATGTACACATGTTTACTACAGCACTATTTACAATATGAAAGACATAGAACCAGCCCACATGCCTATCAATGATAGATTGGATAAAGAAAATGTGGTACATATACACCATGGAATACTACACGGCCATAAAAAGAATGAGATCACGTCCTTTGCAGGGACATGGATGAAGCTGGAAGCCATCATCCTCAGCAAACTAACACAGAAACAGAAAACCAAACACCACATGTTCTCACTCAAGTGGGAGTTGAACAATGAGAACACATGGACACAGGGAGGGGAACATCACACACTGGGGCCTGTTAGGGGGTGGAGGCAAGGGGAAGGAGAGCATTCGGATAAACATCTAAGGCATGCAGGGCTTAAAACTTAGATGATGGGTTAATAGGTCCAGCAAACAACCATGGCATATGTAAACCCATGTAACAAACCTGCATGATCTGCACATGTACCCCAGAACTTAGAGTAAAATAAGAAAAATTTTAAAAAGAAGTTAAAATAAGATTAAAGCAAAAGACAGAAAGAAAGTCAGTCTCAATCCTCAAGGGATATAGAGCCTGGAGGAAAAAAAAGAAAGTCATCTTTGTGAATAATTATCTTCTTTTTGAAAGTCAGTATGGCAAAATCCTCCTTTGCATCCTCCATTGTGGTCTCTATTTTTGGTTTCTTAATCTTATACCATTGCTTCCTTTTTATTCTTATCCTTTGCAGAGCAAAACTTGCTTCCTGCTGTGATGCTGTTCAGAACTTTGTTGTATCTCAGAATAACACTCCAGTTGGGACTAACATGAGTTACGAGGTGGAAAGCAAAAAAGAAATCCCAATTAAAGAGAACATTTTTCATATGTTTCCAGTGGTGAGTAAAGATTTGTGGTGTGTTATTTGTGTTACCATTCCAGGTGAATTTTCTCTTACTTTAAGCTATAACTTAAAATTATGATGGAATTAATTAACATACCACACTGTTATGCCGTATAAAATTTGGATAGTGGGCCATTTTTTAAACAGAACCTTTTGAATGCAGTGTGGCTCTGTGGGGAAGGAATATTTATATCTTAAATGATAAGCTCTTCTAGTTCTGAGTCTTCCAGACTCTTCTTCAAATGAGATGAGACACTTGGGCTTTCTGCTGAGTAGTTACTGAGGCTTGTGAAGATGGCCATTTTTCTCCTCAAATAAGATTCTTCCAATTGTCAGTTATGGTGACTAAATCAATTTCTTCACAAGGAACAGTGCGTTTATGTGGCTCATCTTTGGGAGGTAAACATGTAAGAATTTATAGTCAATAAACATGCCCACCATAAGATAGAGATTTTTTTTCTTCTGTGTCTAGTGATGTATCCCAAACCCCTAGGACATTTCCCAGTACATGTATGCACTCATTACCTATTTGTAAAGTTAGAAAAATGAGTAATGATATGATCTAAAACTGCTTGACACAGTGAGGAGAAACTCGACTTGGGGAAATTTTGGCTCTGAAGAACATAAACATCTCATTGCTTATAAACATACATTCTCCAGCATCTTTCTATGATTTGATTAAAAAGCAATTAGGCCACGTCAAGATGGTCAAAATGGGATCACTCTCTATATGCAGTGTACCAGCTGTGGGATATGAGACTCATATAGTTTTCTTTTGTTGGAGCCTTGACTTCTTTCAGCTAATTTTTTGTTGCTTATGTAAGTTGTTCCAGTTTTTTTTATATATTAGGATTCAGAGGAAGAATAACTTGCTGAGCACGAGTGAGAAATAAATAGAAAATGATAGAGGAAAAATACTGTAAATTTTCTGGAAGGAAAAGGGGACAAAAATTATAACTCAAAGCAGTCTCATGATGCACTGAAATGAGCAGTGATTGAAAAGATGATAAGGCAAGAGTATTGTTGGGGTCACCACCTGCGGGGGTCTGTCCTGCAGACCCTGACTCAATGACGGATGAATAAAGTACACTCACCCACAGATATTATGCTTGGACAGTTTGACTGAGTGTGTACCGGTGGCTTACAGGCACCCTGGAGAGTGCTGTAAACAGTTGTGACCACTGGGCCCCTCCAGCCAGTGAGACTTGCATTTATTCAGTAAAGTTTAATTGACAAAGGCTTGAGTCAACACCACTGGAGTGAAAAGATTAAAAGAAAGAGTCCATGCCCAAAGCAAACACCATTAGTGGGTAATATCCCTGGTAAACCTACCCCACTAACCTCCCCAGAGGGTTATCTGGCTCAAAGGCTAGTGTTAAGACCACATGAGTAAACAAGTTACTTAGGTAAACTACTCACATTCCTTTGTATTTGCACCCTCATCTCTCAGGCTCCTGCGAAGAGACTGACTGCCTTCAGCCAAGAACTGTAGAAAAGACCCTTAGGCTTTCCAAAAGGGTTTGAGACTATATTCTATAACTTTCTCTAATATTTTTCCCTTCATATTTTTGCCACCACCCTGAGTGAATCCCCACAGTTTATCTTTCCTATCAGGGAAAGCCTTGGAAAGTTTGACAGTGAGCAACTCTTTCACTCATTCATCCATGCAGGTTTTGCCAGTGTTTGCCTTGTTTTTGACTGACCAGAACAGAGGAGCAGCAACTACTTTACCTCTCATTTGGCGCTTTGAAAGGATTAACTTAATGAAGACTTGACAAATATGTATGCAACTGGTAATTGCCTCCGCTTTCCAAATGTACACTGATTTTTTTTTTAACTGAGGAGAGGAAATTTTGCAGTCAGTACGGCACCAGTTGCAGAGCCAGGTCCGTTTTTTGTGTGTGTTTCTCTAGCCTTCTCCTTCCATGGACGGGGCTCGTGGTGGGGAGCTCCTCTTTCCCACCTTGCTTCACTCTGCCCTTCTGCATGCAACTCCCTGGCACGAACTGCTGAGCACACAGGAAGACTGCATTAAATGTTTCCCGGAAATGATGTGGAGCCACTTCCTCTACAAACTTTGCTAAGTTACTTGCAAAGAAAAAAAAAGTCGATTTTCAACCCGAGTGAGCAATGAGCAGGCTGTGGAGCGTGCAAATTTGCATTTTCTTAGGAGGTTTATTTAAGGAAACATTGCGGTTTGTAATTTATTTAAATTCTTACTGAACATGAGATACTAAAGCATATAGATGTTTTCCTCTCAGTTGACCAAGAAACCGGAGAAAAACATTCATTATTGTGAGTGCATAATGTGAGATATGTTTCTTTCAGTAATCTTTTCTATTTTATGCCATAAAGAGCCTATTTGCATTTTTGCATCCTACCCTATCTATACAATTCAGAATTTATATTGGCACCATTTAGTGGATACTGGCTGAAGACATCTTGACCTAGAAGTTGAGTGACATGAAATAGCCTGATGTAACTGAGAACTGTTCTTTTTAGAGCCAGTCACTCTGCTAGGCATTGCAGATATAACAAGAAATAGGACACGTTATTCAGTTATTTTAATCCACAGAATTGTGAGAAACTATAATGTGCAGTGGTTTAAGGCATGTGCTCTGGAGCAAACTGGGTTCCTATTCCAGTCCTGCCACTCTCTAGCTGTTACTTGGACTCATGCCTGCCTTTTCCCATCTGTAAAATACTCAAAAGTTTGCTGTGTAGGTTAAATGTGCTAATAAATTACGTACTTCAAATAGTGCCTCTTGCATAAAAAGTTCAATAGGACTTTTACATTTCAAAGACAAAACTACAAAGAGAGATGTACTGAAACCGAGTTTCTATGCTAGTTGGGCAGCTCTCAGAGCCCGCATCAGGGCAGACAGCAGCCATGGTGGTTCTGGGGCATCTTCTGTCACTCTCGGCTGCTCAGAACCACATCAGCCTGGGCTAATGCCAGTGGGGCTAGTAAAGTGCCTTTGGCAAGGGTGATGTGCCTTGCTTTTGTAAACTTTGGCAACTTCAGTGGTGTCAGTGTCCCTATCCTGGAAAATTTTTAGTTACCAATAGTTAAATACCAGCTCACAAAATTCCTGAATATGTACTAGTGGCCCCTTCAACGGTTACAGGCCAGGGCCAGGTTCATTCTGCACATGTGCAGTAAATTAATGACCATGATACCAGTTTTGCAAAAGAAATAAGATTTACCCTCAAAGCCACCTGGTGAGAAGGTGGGAGAGCTTGTCGAAAGCTCATGAGATGAGTATTGAAAGCTATACACATTGCACTGTGCAAGATCAGAAGGGAAAAATGAGGGGAAATTAAAACTAATAACCATCCTCTCTGCTCTTGAGGACTTACACCTTAATCCTAGAGACAAAATCAGTGGATCAGGACCTCATCACAGAGAAGCATGAGCGGGGACCCTGGCTGTGGGCCCAAGGTCACATCATTACTTCACGGAAAGTGACCAGGAAAGTGGAAGTGCACCACTGAATTGAAAAGTTAGATTTCAGGCCGTGGAGAACTTGGGGAAAATAGGAAACCTTCTGGGGTAAGCAGGTCGGGTCCTAAAAGGAATAAAAAAGATTGAGGTCTTGGAAATTAATTTGAAATATGTCAGTACAGTTGGTAGGCCTCCCTGAAGCACGCTGTCTGGTCATTCGCAGAGACGGCAGACATAAATCTAATGCCATTACTGAGCCTGAAGGTCTAACTATTTAAGAAGCATAGGAAATTTTTGCTAAATCACCTATTAATTTTATGCCTTAGAATAGATTTAATGCTGCTTCCTAATTTCTTTATTTTCTCTTTCTTGCTGAAAATGTCCTTGTTTATCAAGAAGGCGGAATGTGGGATTTTGCCATTCTAATTTTTTTCCTTAATTATGCCATGTAAAATACATGATAACTGCATTTTGTATTATTACATTATGTTGTATATGATGTCTGTTTCTCTCAAGAGAAATGAAACTTAGGTTCATATAATGATTTTTTATTTTATTTTACATATATATACACACACTATACACATTAGACACACACACACACATACACACACACACACACACACACACATTTTTTTGAGATGAAGTCTCCCTCTGTCACTCAGGCTGTAGTGCAATGGTGCGATCTCAGCTCACTGCAATCTCTGCCTCCCAGGTTCAAGTGATTCTCCTGCCTTAGCCTCCCCAGCAGCTGGAAATACAGTCACCTGCCACCATGCCTAGCTAATTTTTGTATTTTTAGTGGAGAAGGGGTTTTACCATATTGGCCAGGCTGGTCTTTAACTCCTGACCTTGTGATCCGCCCACTTTGGCCTCCCAAAGTGCTGGGATTACAGATGTGAGCCACTGCACTGGGCTGCTGTTTTATATTAAGTCATAATAAATTGATTAGCAAACTGTGCTGCTGCTTTTCCTTGTTTTTTTTTTTTTTTTTTTGATGGAGTCTCCCAGTGTCACCCAGGCTGGAGTGCAACGGTGTGATCTCGGCTCACTGCAACCTCTGCCTCTTGGGTTCAAGAGATTCTCCTGCCTCAGCCCCCCAAGTAGCTGGGATTACAGGTGCCTGCCACCATCCCTGGCTAACTTTTGTATTTTTAGTAGAGACAGTGTTTCACTATGTTGGCCAGGCCGGTCTCAAACTCCTGACCTCAGGTGATCCACTCTCCTCAGGCTTCCAATGTGCTGAGATTATAGGCGTGAGCCACTGCACCTGGTCCCTTGTTCTTATTCTTCTCCTTAGCATGTATAAAAAGTTAAGTTGCTAGAATTACGCTGATGTCTATGGTTCTAAAATGAATGGTATTTCATGGTAGTTTTTCACTTTCTCCTACCAGTCCCAGCCTTTTGTGGACTACCCTTATAATCAGTGTGCGGTGGTCGGAAATGGGGGAATTCTGAATAAGTCTCTTTGTGGAGCTGAAATAGATAAATCCGACTTCGTTTTTAGGTAAGACCTGTCAAATTGGTTTCTTTGAAACAAAAGATCAGTTGGGTATTTCAGAGGGATAGTGTAACCACATCCTTTGTGTATTTTGACCTTTGAGCTCTGTTACAAAAGTCTACTAATTATCCAGGAAGGTTTTCCTGAAGTGTTATATGGTTCATGAGTTCCTGAGAATGTCAATATCTGAAGAATGAAAATGTGCTATGGTGATATATGTTTAGGAAACGCTGGGTGAAAAGAGTGGTGGTGAAAGAGGGTTTTGGATTGCAGGACTTTTCAGAGCGTTTAGTCCTGCTACTTTGGGAGGACTCTGGAGGGTGACATAACCCAGGCTTACCTGACCTTGAAGATCTTTTTTCATTTGTTTGTTTTTGTTTTTGTTTAACAGAATATTTCAAGGATGTTTTGTTCTCAGACAATACTCGGGTAAATGCTGATCAAGACATTTTATAGTCATGCAAACTATATCAATATTTCTTTTTCTGGCTTGCAATTTAAAAAACAAATTTGTACAGTTTCTAAGTTCTGGTCTTATAAAATATTTTCTATCTCCATATCACCCAGCATGCAAAAATAGAAACAAAATGGGTTTTATGCATGCCTTGTATTAATAAGCCACACCAAAGCATCTCTACTTTCTCAGTCTGATGAAAAGGCAATTCATCTATCTGAGGATGGATTTCAATTGAAATGCGCCTTTTTAAAGAGTAAGTGGAAGTCTGGTTCTTCCTGTTTTAGAAGCACTAATTTCATACATCAGAAGGGACCCTTTGATCTTTCTTAATTTAATGCTGCCCTTAAGCAATTGAAAAAGAAACAGGTTTTCTAACAAACAGCTTAGAAACCCTTTTTTCTAATTTTAATCTCATTTTAAAATTTTGTGTTGAAGGTGATGATGAAGCAACAATAGACCTGACAGTGCAACAATTATTGAATGTCTTCTTTGTGATTAGTATTAAATGGTCAATATCTGAATGGTTTAGCCATTTTGTTCAAGTACTCAGTGTGAAAAAGCCATAAGGAAGATAATTCTTTCAGTAGACTTTTTATAGCCTTAAAATTCTGAAAACATCTGTGATGAGGGTCAGGCTTAAACATTCATTGTACTTTATAGCAAGAATAGGCAATAGAAGAAGTTTTGGTTTAAAACCCAGAAAAAAAAAAAAACTCAGCAGATATTTAATTTATAATTCTAAAACAACTGTCTGCATATGTAGATTACACATTTGCTGATGACGGGTGTTTTCCTGATTATAGAATTTCCTGTAAAGCTGGCCATTCAAACTGAAAGGCAAAATGAGGGCTAGATGTGTTTGGTGTCATTAAAATCTATTTCATTTTTTAAGCCTGTATTTACTTTGGTGCTGCATGATGATAGTTTATAAAATGAACTTTTATTTTTCATTTCAAAAGATTTGGAGCTATGAATTAAGTGTATGAGGAATGAAAATAGGTAATGACTATATATATATTGTTGGTATATGTGACTATACCAGTACATATTATATATATTGCAGTAGTAGTAATATATATAATCACATATATATACTGTAGTATACTGTAATACATCAAATCCAGGAGCATTCATATATGATATCATATATACATACATATTATACATATGTATAAAAAACATATACTGTATTATATACAATATGTGTACTATATATCATATACTATATACTATATATATTTATAGATAATATTTATAATATATAATTATATATAATATATATTTAT